TTATCAGCACCACCACCTGCACTGTGTCTAGTGCTTTAGACCACTCAGCCAACTCTAAGACAATGTATATATACTTCTTTATGACAATTTGGTGTCTCTTAATTCTCGGGAGAATACTGAATATATATTGAGTGGATTTCAATATTGGAACTTTCAACATGAGAAAATATGTAGTACACAACAGGAAATAGTATAAATTCACATCATATATATATATACATGCATATATTGAAAATGAGATATTTTTAGGCAAATATTATATTAGGATTACATGGTCATCAGATATAGGAAGTGATATATATGTATGTTGACTTCTTGTCTAGATAAATACATCATCAGTTAATTAATCACATGTGTGTTAGTAGTGTATTAATATGGGGGAGGAACTCAGTGTAGGTAAGAGGAGGATTGTTTTGAATACTGTCATAAACTGAGGTACATGTAAATTAATTGATTTTATATGCCCGTTTACGGGAGGTATTATGGTATACCGTTGTCTGTCTGTCTGTCCGTCGTCAACACTACGGACAATAACTCAAAAACGCTCTCACCAATTGTCATGAAACTTTGGGGAATTGTTTATATCTATTGATGCAGTTTTTGGCTTATATCTCTGAAACTAAAGCATTCAGAGTAAATCTGACAGGGTAAAAATGTTTATCAGGTTTAGATCTGTCTGCTGTAAAATTTTCAGACAAATCAGACAACTCGTTGTTGGGTTGCTGCCCTTGAATTGGTAATTTTAAGGAAATTTTGCAGTTATTTGTTATTATCTTGAATATTATTATAGATAGAGATAAACTGTAAACAGCAATAATGTTCAGCAAAGTACGATCTACAAATAAGTCAATATGACCAAAATTGTCAATTGGCCCATTAAGGAGTTATTGCCCTTTATAGTCAATTTTTTCGTAAATGTTTGTAATCTTTTACAAAAACTTCTCCACTTAATCTACTGGGCCAAAAAGAATTAAACTTAACCACAATTTTCAATAGGGTATCTTGATTGAAAAATGTATCCGATGACCCTCACTCACTGTCATCCTACCAACATGGCTAAGGAAAAATTGTAAAAAAAACAATTTCAAATGGTCACAACTTGAAAACCAATTTAAATAATGATAAGGGGTCTTCAGTAACTATTGTTAGATTAAAATAGGATGACCTGCTTTCAATTTAACTACTGGGCCAAATTAAACCAAACTTGGCCTCAGTCATTATTAGGGTATCTAATACTATTTATTATGATTTTAACCTTATTTTACATGATTTCCAAAAACACAGTAGATACAGGTGATCGACACAGGCTCTTGAGAGCCTCTAGTTTTTTTTATGTCTTTTTATTATATTCCAGGGTTTTACATTATAAAGAGACTGGCCCTGGAAGGCTCTATCATCACTTATTATCTTGTTACATGTAGGTCTTTAACAAAATCCACTGCATTTTAAACCAGTCTACTTGAATTGGTAAAACAATCTGTTATTGTATGTGCCCTTTGCTTTACCATGTTCAGATATTAGAACAAAAAAAATAAAACTTTTAACCTGCAAGAACATCTTGTCTAAGTGGAGGTGTTTTATACTAATTACTGGTGATGAAAAAGGTTCTGTATATTTTTATAATAGCCTCACTTACCTACTGATTACTGATGTAGAAGAAAGTATGTGGTGCATTAAACACAAACAGATGGTTTTTACATACTGACTTATCTCACAGACCTTGAACAATGGTTCGTAAGGTTGTGTAAGGATACAGCTTATTTGTTGAGCAGTAGTCGCAACAGTAAAACCTGCAATCAGAGTAAACCACATCTCTTTGGCCAGTCCTTCTGTCTTATAGATGTTGCTACAGTAAAACCTCCAGCCAGAGAATACAGACATCTCTTTGGCCAGTCCTTATGTTTTATAGCTGTCGCTACAGTAAAACCTCCAGCCAGAGAATACAGACCTTTCTTTGACCAGCCCCTCTTATGTCTTTTAGCTGTCGCTACAGTAAAACCTCCAGCCAGAGAAGATAGACTTCTTTCTAGAGAGTACTTAACTTTCTCTAAATTATTGAATCTCATACATTAATATGTGATCTTCTGGTAGATATATTTCCTACATTTCTTGTTAAACTATCCAATCACCTTCTGCTCTTTTTTTCAAGATCTATAATTTTTGATAGAAAATGTATTCAATCCATTCTTGAAATGGAGTACTGTCTTCACTTCTGATAAGAGTGTCTTCTTTGCTTCTGATGGATGTCTTTGTTATGACAACATCCCATCCACTTTTGATTGTGTTACATCCCTTCCTCATCTAAAATAGATTTAACCTCCCACTTTGGATTATAGAGGATATCCTTCCACTTCTGAATTTAGAATCCCTTCCCATCCTGAGAGGGGTTTACATTGATTTTAAATGCCCATAAATATGTTTTTTATTTTTATGTTATTTTTTTTTTTGGGGGGGGGGGGGAGGGAGGGGGTCATTTGAAAATTAAAGGGCTTATATAATATAACATGTAGAACATCCTTTGGGTCAAATTAGATTTTCACTTACACAATAGTAAATTTTACTACATATAATTTGTTTGCCTTTTGGTGAATATATTTTCTTTTGCTTTAGCAATACAAAATAGTGGAATTCATGTAAAAATCAAATGTTCTGACTCTTCTACATTGCCTATTTACAACAGCATCATCACTGCAAGTGTCAGTGGGACTTTTGATTAGAGTATAATCCCTTCCATTTCTGATTATAGGACACTTTCCACTGCTTATAGGGGTATTGTTTTCTCCAGTATCCCATTCTATTTCACAATACTGTACTAGAGAATATTATTTATATTTCAATTTTCGTCATCACCATTTCTAATCACATTTACTCTGCTTTATAGAAAATTTTCAGATCTCCAATACCTCTTGGGATTAACTTATGGAAATGGCTTTTTTTTCCCCTCAACTACTTGAAATTGAAATGCCTCATTTGCAATAATTTGTAAATGAATAAATAGAATGACAAGCTGTTGAAATAAATAAGTGGGTGGGGTATTATAGCACAACACTCACATGTATGTCATTGTATGTACTTCTCATTTACGGAACTTTAAACTGAAATAGATTTAATGCACCGCTTTACTGTCATCAATAAAATAAAAGATTATAGAACAGAAAGATGAAACTGAAAATGAAAATTTCTTGAATCTGTGGATTGTTTTAGATATAATCCTAAGATGAAACGATACAACACCTTATTGGATGAATCAGATATTCTCAGATTTCCTTTATTTAGTAAAACTATATGCTAATACTTTTTTCTTTCATTGTTTAAATGGCTTCTTCCTTATTCCAGACATGCAATAGTGTTATATACAAATAAAGAGATGTAGTATAAACTGATTGCCTGAACTATCCACCAGAGACCAAAAGGACAAGGATGTTAACAAGTATAGGTCAGAGTACTGCCTTCAACAATGAGCAAAACCCATACAGATAGTATTAGCTAAAAAAAGACACAGGAAGGACAAAATATAAATCAAGTCAAAAGAGAAAAAACAATGGCCTGATTTATTATAAAAACAACAAAAGAAAGAGATCTGTATTACAAATATACAAAAATGCCTTTTAAAAGACAAAAACACAAGGTTCTCATCTAAGTATACTCTCATTTACTGAAAGACAACTGAAAAATGAACAATGTTTTTCCATTTATTAATAAACTATGTTTTCACATTTTCCCATTATACTCATAAACATCATTTCTATGCACAGATGATGATGATTGCACTATCTGGAATAATCTTCTTTCAGGTACAAATGTACATGACTCAAAGTGTTGAAAGCTAAATACATTTAAGATCAACAAAACATAAAAGAGCACACTTCCCCCCTTAATAAAAAATAGAATGTTTTGTTAAAATTTTCCTGCTAAAGTAAGTTTTGGTATTAGTAAATTTGATCCGATCTGTTATACAGAATTGAAACTGAATTCCTGTGAAAGAACCATTCCTATTCATGTTGATAACATTTTCCAGTCCTATGTGTCAATACATTGTTATAGTTATGCCACTTAATTTTTATGTACCTGCAACTAAAAGTTGGGGGGTTTATTGTTTTACCCCTGTCTGTCCGTCCGTCCGTCCCATTATGGGTATATAGTTATTCCGCATAACTCCTCCTACAGTTTGAATCCTAGGAAGTTTTCACTTTGCTGACTGTTTGTACATATATTGAAGGTGTGCATATGGTCAGGGTTTTGATTTTTATTAATTTTTGCTCTCTTGGGAGATAGTTGAACTTTGTCATTTTTTGGAGTATTTACTTGCATAAGAGGAGCGCTTCCAGATAACTTCTCCTACAGTTTAAATGCTAGGAAGTTTTCACTTTGCTGGCTGTTTGTACATATATTGAAGGTGTGCATGTGGTCAGGATTTTGATTTTTATTAATATTTGCTCTTTTGGGAGATAGTTGAACTTTGTCATTTTTTGGAGTATTCACTTGTATAAGAGGAGCGCTTCCAGATAACTTCTCCTACAGCATGTACAGTTTGAATGCTAGGAAGGTTTCACTTTGCTGGCTGTTTGTACATGTATTGAAGGTGTGCATGTGGTCAGGATTTTGATTTTTATAAATATTTGCTCTTTTGGGAGATATTTTAACTTTGTCATTTTTGGGGTATAAGCGGTTAAATGTTATATAGATATAAGAAGATGTGGTATGAGTGCCAATGAGACAACTCTCCATCCAAGTCAAAATTTATAAAAGTAAACCATTATAGGTCAAAGTACGGTCTTCAACACAGAGCCTTGGCTCACACCGAACAATAAGCCATAAAGGGCCCCAAAAATTACTAGTGTAAAACCATTCAAACGGGAAAACCAACGGTCTAATCTATATCAACAACGAGAAACACTTATGAACCACATCAACAAACAACAACTACTGAACATCAGATTCCTGACTTAGGACAGGTGCAAACAAATGCAGTGGGTTTAAATGTTTTAATGGTACCAAACCTTCACCCTTTTTCTGAAACAATAGTGTAACATCACAACATAGAAAGACACACTATAAAATATCAACTGAAATAGCTTAACTCAACCAAAGGACATATTAACACCAGTGAACATACACTGAACAAATAAATTTGACCTACGATACAATGTAAATACAATATAGTTATTTTAAAATAACACTTTGCATCTGCGGAGGCATCAATTGTGTCTCCCAGACACAATAATATCTCAAAGAAAGTCCTACATTAACTTTGTTATAATACAGTTACTTCAGAGTGGAATGCGGGGGCATCACTTTGTCTAGTTTTATTTTATTTCCCTATACAAATATGTCTCTCACATAAAAAAGGAAAATAAAGAAAACTGCAATCCATTTTCCAACACATTTATTGGAAGGACGAAAGTAAAAAAAACTTTCCACTCCAAATAAAATTCTTTACTAGGAAAATAGCAAGATCTTCTTTCCAAAGTAGGTAGGAATATTAGATATGTCTTATGACTTCAAAAATATTTTCCCATTATCTTTGTATATGATTAGAATTTAAATTAGCTCAGTTGCCTAAAAAGTCCAGTGTGAGCTTGTGCTACATTTGTTTTGTATTTGTTGGTGTCCACCATCCATCAAAACTCTTTAAATAATCAATTTTCCTTATCACTCTACTAGATCCATTTGAATATTATTTAGTATTCGGTATAAATGACAAGTAGCACTAAAATACCTTTCTAAATTACTTGTCTTAATGTCTGTCCTCTAACCAAGACTGAATCACCTGACTGCTAACTATACATGTAATTGTAATGCAAAATTTTTTAATTATTCCTTGTATAAGAAGTACAATCCTTGTATATATATTCAGGGGAGAAGCTGTTAATAAACTTTTGTTTCTTGAAGAATGCTTATGATATTTTAAAGCAGTTTATTTTATCGAAAAATCAAATGCTTTAAAAATCTGAAATAGGAAATTAAAAACAAATTAATTATTTTTGAAACCATTCAATTTATATAGATATTATTTTTTTTTCATTAGCTGAGAGATATTACTCATAGGCAAATAGTTCTGTCTGCTGGAAAAAAAGTATCGATTTTTGCATCTGTACACAAAAAACTAATAAATTTCCTCTACTGGGTTTTAGATTAAAAGTGAATGAACTTCATGTACTGATAATTAATAGCATCAAGATTAACTTTATTATTGCCTCATTTTATTTTAAAACCAAAAAACATTTGTAATTATTCAATATTATGACAGCCCATTTTGTTTGTTCACCCTATCATCCCCAACATTTGACTTGATCATGATGATATGCCATAATTATAGACCTTTCTGCTACCAGGTAAACAATACAGGCTCCTTGGGGCCTCTGGTTCAGTAAGAAGGTTTGGCCTGAATATCCTGATCTGTTTGTGGTATTGTGTTACAATTGTACCATTAGATAACTGAGGTTTATGTTTAATAATACAGTTTATGTTCAGTAACATTTCATTACTGACCTTTGGGGATTGACATCTCTTATTAGTGGAGTTTGCCATATTTCTATACTCTTCCTGGTTGTGAACATTTAATTAACTATGCAAATTTATATGTAAATGAGATTTGATTTTTCTAGCATTCCTTTGAGTCTTGATACTAGTACTTCTGTCCATCAAGAGTTATTTCAGAATCCTTTAGATTTTCATATAATAAAATTGAGAATGGAAATGGGGAATATGTCAAAGAGACAAAAACCTGACCAAAGAGCAGACAACAGCCGAAGGCCACCAATGGGTCTTCAACGCAGCGAGAAAATCCCGCTCCCGGAGGATGTCCTCAGCTGGCCCCTAAATAAAATTGTGTACTAGTTCAGTGAAAATGGACGTCACACTAAACTCCAAAACATATAAATGAACTAAAATTAAAAAAAGATACAAGACTAACGAAGGCCAGAGGCTCCTGACTTGGGACAGGCGCAAAAATGCGGTAGTACTTTTGTGTACATAAGGTTTATGGCCCACAAAGCACTTTCATATATTCTTCACATTTATGCTGTCCCAAGAAATTGTCAACCCATTTTTCTCAGCAACTACAAATATACTAATGAGAGCTTGAGTTTTGTTACCAATCATCATATTTGAAAGCTTAAATGTGTGACATGTTTCAGATCTATCACTTATCTACTTCCTGTTTGCAGCATACATGTAATGTTCTTCATATGTTTTGTACCATTTTTTTTGTCAACTACAAGAGCTTATTGATATTGAGTACCACTTAGCTTCACATTGGTAACCTCTGCAGTTTGACAAGATAGAATGTCTGTCTTTACCTTCTTCCTGTTAGTCCCATAAATGTTTTAATCTTTACATTGATGGACATAGAAATGTTGATGTTTTTCTCAGGAACTGCAAGTCAGAGCCTCTTGTGTGCATATCCATTGTCTGTATTCACTGTTGTTTGATATAGTATTTTCTTTCACTAAAAAGTCAGGAATAAGGAATAGATTTATGAGCAGTACGTTATATTATGACTTGAATGGATGAAAGAATAAACTGTCAGTTACAGACTGCTCATTTATAAATCTATCCTTAGGTAGCTTTGATTTGTAAAAACCTTTTCTGGTGCACATTGGATTCCATTATAAATTATTCTACGGTTGAGTTAACTCCCTTGCTTATTGTATATTCTTTATAAAGAAAATAGTCTCAATGGACCAAATCTTGTGATGGTCAAAAATATACTTTTGACCATTGGCCAAACACGGTTGTGACAAGCAATTAAAACTAAATTGAAAAGATATATATGTATATTTTTTTAAAGCAATTATATCAGAATTTGAAGATTTATCATTGACTTGGAAAAGAAAATTGTAGAAAAAGTAGGGGAAAGCAAAGTTGTAATATTTTTGTAATATTTATTATTTTTATTCTTGCAGGTAATTAATGGCTAAAGACCAGGTAAGTTTCTCATATTTATTACTCAATTAAAAAAGAATAAAAGTTCAAAAGTTGTAGCCAAAAGATGTTCTGATATAAATATAGAAATAAGGAAATATGATATGATTGACACTCTGGGGATACCATGTTTATTTTAATGATGTTGTTTTAGAGGAAGAAGTTTGATTTAAAAACCTGTTAAAGGACACAAACATGTTGGTTCCATTGCAACTTACCAACAATTTAATGTCAGTCATTTTTCACATTGAGACAAGTAAGACTTTAGATATTTTTGTAATTTCTTGTTCTACCTTCTTGTACTTCTTATTTTACCTTGAATGAAAAAGGGGGGAATAAAATCAAAAGTTTTTTTGTAGTTGTTTTCAGTTTTTCAACTGTCCTTTTTATGGCAGACCTCAGCACTGATTTGTCTTGAGTTTGTAGCATAAGAGAGTAAAAGGGGAGAAAGAGGACAAACAAAAATCATAAGTCGAAGAAAAATATACAATACAATGGCCTAGACAGTTTTACAACTAAGCCCAAGAATTTGCATCAAAATGATGTTGAATAAAAAGTGAACTTATCTCCTGCACCACTTAGAAAACACCATATTTTCAAATTAAACTGTCACATCAATTATATTATGTTAGTTCACAGATACCACATGGTTTCTTTCTCAATCTATAGGTGACAATTGTTGCAAGAAGGGATACAATGAAATACAAAATACCAATCAAGATATATATCTTTTTTTTTTCATTATATGTGATTTTGATTTTTTTTTACAAAATTTGATTTTTTCAATAAATTGCAAGATTAGGATATTTTTAAAACCCATGTTTAAAAATAATTAGGTTTTCAAATAAATCTTGAAAGTCAGGATAAACAATATCAAAGAATGTTTCCAAAATAAGAATTAAACTCAAAAAAAAGGGGGGGGGGGGGGGGTCAACCTCGCATGTGCCTGTGCATTTTCCTAAAACTTTTAAAGTTTAACAATTTTGTGTTTTAAACATCTGTTAAGTAATATTATCAGTCGGCTTATCAGTATGAAATGACAGATTTATAATCCTTTTTAACCATTTTATAATTGAGAGAAGATATGAAATTTTCACTTTCTTGTGCATGGATTTAGGACTGTAGAGAAAAAATACAAAAAAACAAACAACTGTCCACAAAACATTGCACAGAAAACCAAAATGACCGACACAAACTTGATCAACAGGTGAACTCAGGATGACATGGCACCTGCTGTTTTGGTTAGTAAAAATGGGATGATAAGTTCCATTTACCATAAAGAACCCTTATTTCAATTAATACCTTGTAAGCAGCAATACTTACAATGACAAAAATGTATTAGCATTGAAGTTTTCAAAAGAAGTTCATCTAATAAGGGTCTTATCTCAATGAATTGAAATGTAGTTAGACATATACATCTGAAGTACTAACAAGCCACCTAGCTCAATAAAAACAGCAACATATGTTGTAATACATTCATTGATAAAACTGTCGATTTCCTTTACATAACAGTCCTTATATCTCAGATACTTTTCAAATTGGAAAAGTAACATTAAAAATGAATTAATTGTATACAAAGGTCACAAAAGATAAGAGAATGTCTTTGGAATGTATTGACTACCAATAATGATTAGTAATGTGTTACCCACCCTGATCAATGCATCAATATTACCCCCCTGCAGACTGCCATCAATACAGGTATAGTGTGGAATTCAATGGATACAAAAAAATGTGTGAAAAAAAATTCTTGCAGTCGGTCTTATTTTTTGGGGTGGAATAGTTGGTTTCCATAGTTACGTCTTGTGTTAATTGATTGGAATGGAAAGGTATAGCAATCAATGCAGTAGTTAAATCTATCCTTGTGTATACTGTGTGTTACATCATTGACTGTCACAGGACGATATATGTACTACTATTACCATCAATGTAATAGCTGAGGGATAGTAAGAGGATATGTTTTCTGTGAGGGATTAATTCATTAACAATGCATTCTGATAGGATCTGCCTAAAGGTTTGATAATGAATTAGTACTATTTTTAGATTTGTTTTATGAAGATTCTGTATTGATGCACTTTGGTTTTGAATAACAAATTAGAATAATGAGAGCTGCATGGTCTATATACATGTCATATGGTAATTTTGTTAGTATGGACAGATAATGTTTAAACAGTTTTAATTCATTATGAAGTATTTTCATCTGAAGATTTCATCAATGTGTGCAGTGAGTAGTAAGTACCAAAAATGTTTAAAACAGAAAATCAGAATCAAACAGAGACACATTTGGTATTTTGAGTGACACTCACTCAGAAGAAGGAATCACATGCATTTAGTGTGAAAGAGGAAGAGTTTCAAAGGAGATGAGTTAAAAGAAAAAATGGGTGAATGAAATATAGGTTGAGTAATGAAGCAATTTGCAATAAGTTGGTAATATTGAACTTATACAGAGAAATATTTACTTAAAAAGATTTTGTCTTGGGTAACTGATTCAATTTAAAGATAAAACATATTTATCTTGAGTATTGAATTTTAATGTATTGATGAGTTATGTGAGCTGATAAAGGAAGGAATGCTCTTATTCATCAGTTTGTTTTTTTCTTCAGAAAATTGACATACAGGTCTTTAAATTGTAAAGTTTGGTAGGTATAATAATACAGTCAAATGACCCAACAAAAAAAAGGTACAAAGACTAGTATCTAAACTATTCAAATTTATTATACAGAAGATGGAAACTAAAACTAGAGTTAAAATAGATTTTAATTTGACATATTTTCAATTTGTCAGTTGATTTTAAACCTTAATTTATAGCCTTAATAAATTTCTGCAGTACTTTTGTTTATATAATCCATTTTATATATAAATAGTAGCCAGTCAATATGTCTGATCAATATAAAATATGTTTAGATATTGTATGTTACCTTGAACTTTTTAAACACCTACATTTTTGAACTGACTGACTTTGATGGATTGATTGACATGTGAATAACTATTAATTTTAAGTAAGTGGCATTTTTGTATGGACTATTTTCATCTCCCCAGTACCTTTTTATTTGGCCTCAGGATACTGAACAAAAGTCCATGTCAAAAATGATGTTGTGTTCAATTGATATATCATTTTACTATAGGACAGACTTGTAAATGTAGGGTAGGTTTTATTTATATTTTTCACTTCAGTTCTACAATATTTTTATCAAATTCAATGCAAAAACAAAACATTGTATACCTTAATGGGAAAAGCCTAAAAGATATGAAAAATTAAATTATAAGCTTCATATTTATTCAAAAAGAAAAAAAGGTGATTCTTATACTGATCTTATTTAGTGAGTATTGATAAAACTATATTTATAGAGAGTAGAAATATTGTGTTTTATCCTGCAACTGAATGTAGATGGGGGGGGGGGGGGGAGTTCTACTCTTTGATAGAAATGATATTTAGATTGTGGAGCGGAGACAAACATGATTCTCTATTAAAATTGAGTGTTAATAGATTTCGTAGAGATTTTGTAAAATAAATCAATGATTGCAGGCCAAAAGCATGCATTCCACTTCTAAAAAATCATTATTTCATTCCATATTGGACATTATTATTGCATAGCAACAATAACAGCACAGTAAAAATGGTCCGTTTACTATTGTTACCTCAGGACTAAGTCTGTTTGTGACTATAACAAATAACTAAGGGCTTAGATCACTGATACTTTTTTTCTTTTAAAGCAGTCAGGATTCATGTAAAGAGGCCATTTGAGGGATAATGGTTAAAAAGGGTCTCCAATTGACAATAAACTACAGGTATATTTCTTGACTATGGACTTATCCAGTACACTTGTTTTCATGTACATCGTTTATTCCTGTTTAATACATGTATATAAAGGTTTTTGTATGATCAAAAATTCTTCAGCATATTTAATATGTAATTGCACTGAGATGAAATTTGTTATGAATTTTAATGACAATGCATAATAATATGACTAATTAAAATGACATGATTATGTCATGTGATAAGATATAGAAACAAGTTTTGGCTTATGTTCTGTCTAGCACTTAAAGTGATTTTAATGCACTGTTACACATGTTTGCAAAATTATAAAGAGATATAATTCTAGAAACATTTTAACATTGCTTTAGTAACTCCAGCTTGATGTGTGTCATTGTTGACTAACAGAAACTTCAGCCACTGCCTAATTAATGAGCAAAAATCAAATGTCATTTCCTAACTAGATTTATGCATAAATGCAAGACTATGCATAGTTTATTTAGTAGTTATGTAACGCAGGATGTATAATTTATCCATTATAAATAAACAGATTCAGTAAATAAGAGAAAGAGTACATATTGTCCATTTGGATTTACTATCAGTTCTAGATAAGTAAGCCTCAATGATCTAGCTATCATTTCTTGTTTACATTTTCCATTTATAAATATGAGAAATGTGCAGATAGTGATCAAAGCTGCCATTGTCCATTATTATAACAATACATTAATTTACTGTAGAATTTCTTATTAACTTTCTAAAGCCAGGATCTATGATAAAAGAACATTTAAATATCTCCATTTCTATTGACAAAAGTCATTTTTTCTACTAAACCTTAAGAATGATTTGTTTTGCCCTTTTATTTGTTTACTGGTGGTTCAATATAAAAATAAAGGAGACCTTGTATGATTGCAAATGTTTTTCCTTTTAAGAATATAATGACTAAATCACTGTCACTCTTATTTCTGTCTATATATTCGTCTGTCTGTATGTATACATGTACATGTGCAAGTTGTGTCATATTCAGAACTTATGAATGCCTTGAAGGAATTGATGAAACTTGGCATTTAAGTTGCCCACGACAAGAAGTTGTGTCATGATTTAGGTTGGAATGTCTTTCTGCAAGGTCACAGTCACAAACATAGCTTCAAATATGTAAAACTTTATTCAACTCAAAACTTTTGAATGCCTTGAAGGGTTTAGATTTTTGTTAATAAATGATGAATTGTTGCCCAACACTAGAAAGTGAGTCAGGAATAAGGTTTTATTGTCTCTCTGCAAGGTCTCTGACTCCGATTGTTTAAATGCCTAATAGATAATAATGAGCCTTGATATTATTGTATATTGCTGCCCACCACTAGAGGGTGTTTTGCTAATATGGTTGGAATATCTTAAGTGTCTGTAAGGTCAAGGTTAATACTTTGCATATTATGATGGATACAAGGAACAGGCTATTATTTGAACTTGGAATTATTTTTAATTATGGAATTTGCATAATTTCATGTGTTTGAAATTTTTGATAAATTCCATGTTTATTAAGTATTATTATGTTTTGAGCGGTGCATAACACTTTCCACACAATGTATTTTGTATAGATAGTGTTGTGCGCGGCACAGTACATTCTATTGAAATGTGCTATCTTCTTTGTAATAGAAAGTGTTGTGCGCAGCACAGAACATTATAATACAGAATAAACATGGAATTCATTAAAAATTTCAAGCACAAGAAATAATGCAAATTCCATAATTAAAAATAATTCCAAGTTCAAATAATAGCCTGTTAAGGGTAAAGGATGTATATTTTTCTGAGCTTTGTTTTCAGAACCTCTAGTTGTTGTTGGTTTGCTGTCTCATTTATTAGTACCCACTTCTTGTATTTATATGCAATGATTTTATACTCTGAATGGATAATGGTTTGTGTTACTCACAATTAATAATGACTCTCATTATATTAGAACTTTGTGAATCTTCATCCAAATTGAAAACGCCTTTCTCTGAATTGATAAATAATAATTTACTCAGAATCAAAAATGACTTCCTCAGAATTGATAATGACCATCTTGCTATGAATCCGTCTACTACACAATGACTTTGTATTATTCCTGAGTTATTCTTTTGGGCAATGGCTTTCCTTACCAAGAAAGAAACTTGTAACATGAATCAGCTTGATGTGAAATAATGCTGATTACTCTTTTGACCAGAACTTGATAGTCACATCTTTCCTTTCTTAAAACTTGAAGAAAGCTGTGAGTTCAGTTAAGGTTAATGATTGCTTGATAGACTATAGGGATCTTTTTTTTCCTTTCCTGCATGTTGTATTTATGGAATGTTTGTTAATGTAGGAGGTTTACTGTAACTTTGTACAATCAAAGCCTTTTCTTTAGGAATATAGAATTGTCTATGCAATGAATCATAGAATTGATTTGTCATTCTTTATCAATTACATTCATCATGTCTTATACAATACAGTTTATATTCAAGGAAATAACTGTTAACAAAAATCTGTGAATATATTTAGTTATAATATTTGATTTTTTTTTAGAAGAGTTGAGGTTAAGGGGAAAAATGGTCAAAGGTCAATGGATGACTATCTATTATACCATTTCAGATGGGTTAAATGTATTATAGATCAAAGTACTACCATGACTTTATACATTGGTAAAATGTTGATCAGTCAAATACATTAAATATCTCTAATTTGTTTCAATTTTTAGAAAATATGGAACTGTTTTCAGTTTTAAAAGTATCTCTAGGTCTTTATTAGCCTGATTTTCAACCCCTAGAATTGTCAATATGTGCATTTCCTGTTATGTTGGCTACAGTAGTAACATGTTCTTTATTTCTGTCTGTTCATGTTGTAAACTTGGATATGTATGATTGCATCATTTCAAAGTTTTTGAATATTGTGGTTTTATATTTTCAAGACACTATACCAGACTTAATTTTCTACAATTTAGAAAACTTTTAAGAGTCATTTATAGTACAACTTCTCAGATTAAAGACACCCCCCCTTTTTTCACAAAATGGAATTTTGTTCTTTGATATCTTCTATGGTTTTCTGCCCTTTAGAAATAACTAAAATATTAGCTCAGTCAATTCTCTGAAACAGCAATATTTGTCTGAGGACAAAGGTCTCATGGACCCACATTTCAGGATTCAGTGACTCTGATACAGTTTTAAAACTTCATTAAGTTGTAAGTTGGGAGTTCATTTCTAAAGTGGAGTTATTCTTACAGGCTAACAATCATAATTGTGTTTCTCATTTTAAGTCCAATTGACCTCATTGTGTAAGTTTATGAATAGGAAGAGGAGTTTTCAACTAAAAGAATTTAAAGTGCATAAAAAATAAGCTGATTGGCATGGGTGAGAGCCTGTGTCATGGCACTTTGACCACTGCCTCCTAAAGAGCTCCCTGTGGTAAATTAGTCTCATGTTAGTCAGACAGAAACATAAGAGAACATGAGGTCAATGTCATACACCTGTCTTCTCCATGTTTTATTGTCTGTAGGGTTATTCATTCTAATGTGTCAATATTCTATTGTCTTTTACACTCTGTCTAGTATATTGTGACATTTATGAATATTAATGGAAAATTTATATTTTTTTTGTTGTTTGATTGACATAAAAAGATTGTTTGTGGTTTTAATTGTCACTGTAACACCCTTGGACATGAGCAAGGTCACCATACTATTTGGTGGTGATACAGTAGTAGGGGTAATCTGTAGTTTCCACTGTGTTAAGAAATCACACTTAAGAGATATTTTGACTCTATAGAGATAGTTTATGTTAGTATAAACATTTCATTGGTATACTGGAAAGTCCCAAACCTGTTAGGACTAAATTATTAGAAATAATTATAAAAAGACATTTTCAAGAACCATAATGATTTTGATATTTGAAAAAAAGTAAACATTTCATATGTTCTGAAAATAAATATTTCACTTTTTGTAGGAATAACAATATTTTTCATGATATATTTTGTAAAATTTGAAATAAAAATTATATTTTAATATTACTTAATAAGCTAAGTAACACTTTCAGTTTGCTGGGTAAAGTTCAATAGGTTTTTTATTTGAGAATGTTCAGCATCTTAAAACAACTTTTATGTATTGCAACTTTTATAGTACATTTTTAAATGACTCTTCACTCCACTAAATATTGTTGATCTGGAAAAGAAATAACAGGGGGAAATGTAATCCAATTTATTGTGTATTGTGTGTATCATCATAAGAATTAGATGTGCTGTGAATACCCCCATCAATTTATAAATTATTGGTATCAATATTATATATGTAACCTTTGATGTTAAAATTTGAAGGTCAATGTTTAAATACTACAAATAAATATTTAGCAAGTAAAAATCAGTCAATCACAAATAAAACATTTGGTGGGAGTTCAGAATCAATAATTGAAAGTATATATATAAAAGATAATGTTTTAAATTGTATTTATTTTGTTAACTAGATTTCTCAAATAAACCTTCACAGAACACCAGGTGCATATTTATGTTTACCTTGGCATACAGGTAATAATGCCTTTTTATCATCTCTATACTCATAATTTAATTAGCAATTCACTTCTAAAAATAAGTTCAAATATCTTTGTGTTAGGGGATGATTGATATGTATATCTTTGAAAGCTGGTTAACATTTGTGCTGAGGGCATAGAATATAATGGTCTCATTGATTCATATCTTATATGCATAATAAACTTGTATTTTTACTACCATTGTATAATTCTATCTTGCTTAGAATAAATTTCTAACATGGTTTATTGTATAGTGTCCCAATCAAAATCGTCTTTTTTATTATTTCATCTCCTTCTGTTGCAAAATATAATTTGTGGTTCACTAGTAATAAAGAATGTAAATATAGATAGAGCCAATGTGATCTTACTTCAATGTGTTTTACAAAAAATATAATTTATTTTTAATTGTGTATCCTGTCTTGAAATAGATCTTGAATTGCAAGGTTCACAAAATTCTTTATATTAAAATGTTATGATTTGAATGGTTGATTAATTCTGTCCAGTCCAGGTGT